GGGGAAAAATGAGGACCTAATGCCGGGGATTTAAGTGGAAAGGAAATGTTTTGAGAATGATGAGGGCAATGAATGTACAAATGCGCTTTACACAATTGATGTGTGTATGGATTGTGATAAAAGTTGTATGAGCTCCTAATAAAATGATTTTTTTTTTAAAAAAAGGAAACAGGAAAGACCTAGGAAGCAAAGCTGTGGATAAAGGTAAAAACATAGGTGTGTACATGTGTAAATAAGTTAATTCATAAAAATAGAGGTATTGGTCTATGTACATATATTTGTATGGCAATACATTGACGAATTGGACGTACTTTGGGTCTCTGTTCAAGCCCTCCCTCAATGCAAGAACACGTTGTTCTAACATCCTGGCATTCTGTGATGCTCACCCTCCCGACATGATCTATGAAGACAAAATGGGTACATAAGCAAATGTGGTGAAGAAAGCGAATGGTGCCTGGCTAGCAAAAGATAGAGCGTCTGGGTTTTTAAAGGTTTAAAGTTAAACAAGAGGCCATCTAGCAGAGAGGCAACAAGCTTACATGTCAGATGCACACCAACGTTTGTGATCATGAGGTGTCTATGGGATCAGGTAACAGGCACCAGAAGACCCAAAACAAATACAGTGTTGAGAATTTAGGGGGTCAGAACAGAGCCCCCAAACCCATCTGTAGACAACAGGACATCCCCTCACAGAAGGGTCACAAGGAAGGGAGGAGTCAACCAGGGTGTAATATAGCACCAATGAAACACGCAATATTTTTCCGGTTCTTTGAAGCTTCCTCACCCCCAACCATCATGATCCCAGTCTCCTGCCTTTCAGTTCTGGCTAGACCGGAGCATGTACACTGGTACAGATAGGAGCTCATGACACATGGAATCCGGATCAGATAAACCTCAGGAACAAATGGGAGTAACGATACTAGGAGGGTAGGGAGAAGGAAGGGGGAACTGATAACAACGATTGACACATAAATACACCACCATCCCACCACCCCCAGTGGATGAACATCAGAAATGTGGCTGAAGAGAGACAGCGGTCGGTGTAAGATGTGAAAATAGCAATTTATCATTTATCAAGAGGGCACAAAGGTGGGAGAAGGAGGGAAAAAAGGAAAAAAAGAGTAGCTGATACCAGGGGCTCAAATAAAAAGTAAATGTTTAGAAAATGATGGCAACATATGTACAAATAGGTTCGATACAATTGATGTATGGATTGTTATAAGAGCTATAAAAGCCCTCAATAAAATGATATTTTAATAAATGAATAAATACTTTCTCCCCCACTAAAAAAGGCCAACATGTAAATTCACAGTGAGAAATTCTGAAGAGCAGACCCCCGTGGCAAACTACTTCTTATATTTGTACTTGGAAAATGGAAGTAATGTTTGAGTTTGAGTTTATGTGCTGTGAACAGAATAGAAACAAGGCAGCCAGTTAGAGGAGCATTCAGGGCTATAGTTTAGGTGATGCTGACATAGGCTTGAGGAATTATAAATGACACAAAAATAAAAATATTAGTTTGCATTTGTTTAGTAAGCAGTAATTAGCTCCTATTTAAATTAGGAATCGTGTTAGGTATTGAAATAAGGGAGACCAAGTTTTTTTTTAACCCTCATCCAATTCATTAAAACAACAACAAACCCTGTTTCTGTGCTCAAGTAGTTCATGGTATGAAAGGGATCCAGGAACAATTATAGTAGTCTGATTATATATTTATGTAATAATATTTAATAATCAATATGTCATTTCTTTCAGAAAATGGAAATAATTCTCCTTTGCCCAAATATGCAACGTCACCAAAACCTAACAACAGTTATATGTTCAAAAGGGAGCCTCCTGAGGGCTGTGAAAGAGTCAAAGTCTTTGAGGAATGTTCGTAAGTACACTTCCTTCCCAATTTACCTTAGAATTTGCAGGTAAATTAAGAGGACAGTGGTCACTCATACCTCCACCATTCAGGTTCTAGAGTTGTTAAGATTTTGTCATATTTGCTGTGTATAGTGGTTTTTTGTTTTTGCTGAACTGTTCGAAAATAGGTAGCAGACATCATGACATTTAAACCCTAATTACATTTTAATATTGCTTTCCTAAAATCAGCTGTAGTACTCCTAACCAGTTCCCACTGAATTAACTGACATATCGTAACCCCCTTATGTGTCAAGATAGAATTATGCTCATTGGCTTGATTTTTCAGAAATAAAATGCCAACACTCTCCTGAGATGCCTCTGGGTGGACTTGAACCTCCAGCCTTTCAGTTAGCAGTTGTGCTGAACTGTTTGCACAACTCAGATTCCCTGGTTGATAATCAAATTTCCGTATTTGACTCCACAGTACCTTTTGTGGTTGGTTTTTGAACCTGTATTCAGTCATGTTCACACATTAAATGTTGTAGTATATTTATTGAAGGACAGTCACCACAGATTTCTCTCCTTTCTTTCAAAGACCAACTCTTAATCCATTTTTCTCTTTGGGGCTCGTTTCTGTAAATTTTTTTTTTAATAGTCTGCCAGAATCCTATTACTTTGCATAATAATATTACTTTCATGAAGATAATGTAAGAAGCAGAATATGGAACTAAAGTAACTGGTTTCAATGGTATGCAATCTCCTAAACTCATATATAGACAGTCTTTGGGTTACAAATGTCTACCTGACTTAATTATAGCCATAGTTATTAACCCTAATAAAGCCTATTAGTACTAAATATTCGAGGTACATACAATGGGTTTGCAATACCGAGCAGATACTACTTTGCAATGCTCATTAAAACACTTAGTTATTATATTAAATATGTGTACTGTATTTGGAAGTATTTTTTAATGTTTTTTATGCATAGAAAGGTACACTGTAAGTGCTTACTAAGACAAACTTCGGACTGACTAGAGTTACATATAAGGCCTTACTAATTGCCCTGACTTACATTTGACAAATGGACCTTATTAGTACTCTTGGGACTACCTGTACTCTGTTACCTCGAACTGTAATTAGTTGCTCCCTATTTAAGCTTGTAATTCTCTCACCATGCAGCTTGGTGTTTTTGTTAGTGATGTCTTGCTGTGGCTATTGGTTTTGAAGTTGGTATGAGACTGAGAAAACTAAGTGATGAACAGATTTAGGGACACAGTGCTTAATCTTGACCCTCCATTGTCACTGTGACTGCAAGTCCGTGAGCCCCCTTTTTGCCCTTTTCTCACAGTGAAACCTGAAACACAATGTGAAGATTGTCTGATCTCCTCCACTTGAAATATGGCATCCTTTTGTTCCCTTTATGTGGCCCCTCCTGTCAGTGTTTCCTTTAACCTGAATTCTGAGTAATCTTGCCACACACACAAAGAGCCTTAGAATCTCTTTAATTCTCTATGAGGAAACACCAGCTGTCAGTTTCCCATCTGCGTCTGTGACAGTAATTGAAAAACTGTTTTAGGAAATACTGATTTAGTTTTTCCACCACGTCGCAATAAGTTCTGGGTCAGCAGAGAATTTTAGCCAGTATTTCTCTAGATTTGTTCTATGGACTCCTTGCATCATAATGACCTGGAATGTAAATTAAAATGACTGTTTTCCAGGCCCTATCTCAGACCTGGTGATTCAATAAATATGGAGATAGAGGGTGAATTATTCATTTTTAACAATATAATTTTTATGGTTAATTTAAAAATACTATCAATTTTTTCCATGAGTTCGTAAGAAATAAGGTGGTTGGGCCATTCAAATAAATAAAAATCAGTTGGTCTAAGTGGTCATTGTCACCCTTGGGTTCTTTGATTTAGTCATTGGCAGGTAGGATTTGCCTTTTTTTTGTTGTGAGGTTCCATCAGATAGTGACTCTCTCGACAATATAACAAATGTTGCTTAGTTCTAGTATGTTTGAGCCCATTGTTGCAGCTACTGTGACAATCTGTCTCTTTATAAGAATCTTTCTCAAAAACAAAAAACAAGCAAACAACAAAACAAAAACAAACAAACAAAAAGAATCTTTCTTTTTCATTGACTTTACCAGGCATGATGTTCTCCTAGGAATTGGTCGCTTCTGAAGTCTCACCATCCTTACTTCTAAGTGACATCCTGAGTGTACTTTTTCTAAGACAAGATTTGTTTATTCTTTTGATAGTTTGTCGTGTTTATAATATTTTTTGCCAACACCACAATTCAAATGCATTTGTTTTCCTTTGTTCTTCCTTTCTCATTACATGCATATGAGCTGAATGAAAAGACCATGGCTTGGGTCAGTTATACCTTAGGCTTCAAAGTGTGACATCTTTACTTTTTAGGATTTAAAGAGATCTTTTGCAGCAGATTTGCCCAGTGATGTGTCATTTGATGCCATGGGGCATTGATATTGGTCTGAGCAAAATGAAATCTTTGATAATTGCAGTATTTTCTGTTTATCTTGCTGGTCCAATTGTGAAGGTTTTTTTTAGTGTTGATGTTAGGCATTGGACTACTAATCACAAGGGTTGGTGGTTCTAACCCACCAGCCGTTCCATGGGAGAAAGATGAAGGTGTCCGCTCTTGTAAAGACTGGCGTTTCGGACACTGGCGTTATGAGTTGGAATTGAATCAGTGGCAGTGGATTTGATGTTGAGATATAATCCATACTGAAGGCTATATGTAGTCTTTGATCTTCAGTAAGTACTCCAAGTCCTCATCTGCACGATTTGCTTATTATAAGTGCAGAGAAATGGTTGCTTAGCTCAAATGCAAATTGAAATTTTTAGAAATCACTTTACTATTGTTAATTTTGTTGTCAATATATATGTTAACATTTGTTAATTTCAATATTTCTCAAGTGTACAATTCACTGATATCAACTATGTTAATGATGTACAGTCATCTCCAATACTTATTGGAGTGGGTAATCCATCAGTAGTGGATTACGCATCACTTTTAGGGAATATTTGTAAGTTGATGTCCTGTGTTGTGTGCCTTAGTTGATTATATTTAGGGAATTTCTGAGAACTTAATGTCTAGGATCTGTTAGTATATTATTTGTGTCTAAAGAGAGAGAGAAGATGGAGATGTGTATATGTATTAATGCCATACTGTAGTCAAAATTAACAGCAAAAAGTATTAGACATCTACCATTAAGGTGACGGTCGATTTTAGATCCCAATAAAAAAATTATAGCTTGCTCAAAGAACACGATTTTTTTTTTTAAGGTCTTACTTTTGGTTTAAAGTAGTAATTCTAACCTGAAAGGGGATGGGATGGACAGGTAGAGTGGAAATGAGGGAATTATGATTTCCAGAAAGGTATCTTTACCTGGAGATATAGGGAAAGACAGATTTTGCACTCGTATCTTTTTGTGTTCACTATATTGCTTTGATGTGTCATGCCACCCCGTTGATGTTGACATATAGAGAGCCTGTGGAACAGAGTGGAACTGGCTGCTCTTTGGGGTTTCTGAGACTATAAATCTTTATAGGAGCATACAACCTCAGCTTTCTCCTGTGAAACAGCTGAAAGTTTGCACCATTGACCTGACTATTATCCCCCAACACTTAACCTACTGCACCACTAGAGTCACACCTAGTAAGTCTGTTTAAAATCAAATATGCTGTTTCCTGATTCCAACTAGAGATTTTTTTTTTGTACTTTCGTACACAGTACAGAGAAATTTTGGCTTTTATGACTTTTTTTAGCCTCTTCCACTTCTTCTTTCTTCCTCTTTTCTCTCTTTCCAATTATATATATCTTGGAACTGGAAGCCACCATTTTCTTTGCTGATGATTTATACCTGAATTGAAAAAGAAAAATTAAGCAAATCTTTAAAAGCAGATGCAAAGAATTCCTTGCATCATTATGAAAATAACTATAATTGTCTATCCTGTCCATTTTCCAGAACATCGGTTAGCAAATAATTTTATGTACTTTGAGACACAGTCTTTTTGGAATAACTGCTTAAGAAAAATAATTTTAAACCAGCGCTAATATGTTACTTCCCTTTGTATGGTTCTTACATTGAAGAATGCTTCTGTTAGTCTAAAAGTAGGCCACATGCTACTGGGCACATGCTAACACTCTGGAGATAATTACTCTTGGAGGGTTGGGATAGGGACTGGCAAGCAAGTACAGGGGCATTTTTTGGGTGCTTTCTCTGTTACTGTTCTATTTCTTGATCTGGGTACTAGCATTAGTGTTGATGGTATTCTATGTGAGATATGTTATAAGTCTGTTTTCTTGAACACTTCATAGAAGCTTAGCTTTTTATATCCCTGTCATTGAAAATAAAACGGCTTTCCAGATCAAGAACTTCCATCAGTCGGAAAGTTTATTTGTATTTCAGAAATGCGAAGTTTCGCCTTTAAAATTCATTAGAGCCAGGTGTCTTATGTTAGTTTAAACAAAATAATCTCTCTAGATCAAATCACTTAATAAATACCTAGGACTCATTTGGGAAGTATGTGTAAAAATTGAGATCCTTTTCCCCCCCTGCTAATATTGGATTGAAGTCTGTTAATCTAGAAATTTAATTATAGAAATGTAACCTCAACTTCCTACCTTCTTTAAGGAATTTGAAACTATACTCTCAGATGATAAAAACAGATCGGTATTTGCTTTTCTTACAAGAAATACGTCCAAATGTGTTTGTGGCACTAAAAGCACTAGACGTAATGGAGGTTATATTGTATTTGAGAAGGAACAACACTTGAGTAGAACATTATTTAATGATGTACTTTCTTCTTAACTTTTTTTCCCTTTTATGTTCCCAAAGCTACTAGTATATCTATGGGAAATATTTACTATTACTGATGATTGTGGAGCACACTTTGCTATCCTCTGATAATATCTTTTGTTTAATATTTTTTTATTCTTCCAGCCCAGATATTACTTCCTTTGGGAAGCTTTCTCCCTACCAAACTCCTACCTCCATGC